ATGATAAATTTGTTAACGTGTAAAGTAAAATCCACATAAATAAATTAGTATATCAAGTTTTATTAAAATTAAATATGAGTATAAAAGAGTTAAATAAAAAACACAAAAAAAGTATATATAATCAATCTATACATCAAAGTAATAATATTTTAAAACATGAAGAACAAAAAAAACAAACATAAATAGAACAACAGTGTGACACTAACGTCTTTAACCATAAACCTTCAAAATTTATAATTCCAACATTTAAAATGAAGAATTACAAAAAAAATTAACCAATACAATAATTTTATCAAGACGATCTAGGTGTATATGCCAAGTTATTTTCTCTCTCTTTTCTCTCTTCCCAATACTGCGACTTACACAATATACCTTGATTTAAAAGATATTTTCTAGTTAAAATAAATACTAAGACAAAATAGATTTGATTAGATAAAACTTATTTTAAACACAGTTGAAAATCCAATATATATCACTCTTTTAATATTATTTTCATTCAAATTATAACTTACATACATAAATAATAATATTTATTTATTTAAATAAATGTATAAATTAGTGTAAATATTAAAATTAACTTATTGAAAATATCATAATTGTGTGTGATAATTCATTATACTATTATATAAAAAGAAATTCACTCTTTTGCATATATATTTTGTTTTTCAATTTTACCTTTTGAGTGACTTTTTTTAAAACTTAACTATTTTTTATTTGACCATTCCTTTTAATTTAATAATTTTTAAAACTAAAATAATTATTTATAATAAAAAAAACTCACCTTTAAAATAAATAAAATTATTATTTTTTAATAATTACTTATATTAATTTTTATTACTAGAATTTTATTATTTCTTATTATCATAGAATTGAGAAGACATGCGCTAAGCACATTTTCACTTGTATGTATAAAAGAAATTGAAATATGAGCAAATACATAAACATCTCTTTATTTATTTTTTCGTAAAATTTCAAATTGATTGTTTATATATTTAATAATAAAAATGCATAATTATATTAATTATAATTCTAAATTGTATTGTTTTATAACGTGAACGTTCAAATTAATAAGACAGCAGATACTTATTTTGATTCATACTGATGTATTTATCTCAGTGGTAGTATAAAATTATTAATATATAATACGTATAAACAGATATGCGGAATTTGAATTATTGAGAATTTCATCAATCTTAAAAGAAATGCATGTTGTCGTGGAGGTAGAATGTTATTTCTCTTTGGGTTGCCATTATAAATCCTTTTCTCGGTGTGAACCAGAAGCACGACAACCACGACAGATAGCAACACCGCGTTCTTCCTTCTTGCAGCGGTGGTTTTCCGTCAATATTGCCAACGCCATGATTTCAGAACGCCTGGTCAAAATACACAGCAATGCATGATAATTCAAGAGTTGAACCTGTGAAAAGGTTACGTTTTAAAATATACTTATTTATTTCCTCAAATTAAAACTTTAATGGCTAATTCTTATGCCAATGTTATATTCAAATTTTATTTTTAATAACATGATATAAATAGATAAAGTAACTTTAAAAAAGTTAAGAAATATATGCTTTTATAATTTTTTCGATTTTAATATTTAATAATGATTTAACTCTTATTATTTTTTAAAAATAAGAATACGTCTGATAACGTCTATGTATTTAGCTTTTTAATAAAAATAAAAATATGAGTACAATTAAAAAATGAAAGATTAATTTTAAGACAACTTTATCAGAGGTATTAGTTAGACATCTTACCTTAATAGACAATTATCAATGTAATTCAAAATTTCATTCCATGCTTTTAAGACAATAGAGGAAGAATTTAAGGATTTTGTATTCGTAATGAAAAACATATTTACATTGCTTATATTTTTAATTATAAGCAATGTAAATATCAATGACTTGGTATGTATATAGATATCAGTGATATCCTATTATTTTCAATTAAATATGAAGATGAATATGATTATGTACCTATCTATCTCGTTCTAATATTCATTCCTATACTCATTCTTATTTAAATTATAAAATACGCACAATTTATTATATATATATATATATATATATATATATATATATATATATTCTGTATAATTTGTTTTTCTTTTTATTGTTTAGGTTGTGTTATATCCACAAAATTTATTAACATTTCGAAGATATTTTTTTCTTATCAAAACTTTTGTATGATTATGTTTAAATGATGTATTATTAATTATAGTCAATTAAATAGTTGTTATGTATTACATTTGAATATTTCTATATCTTTTTAATATTTGTATATTGTTTGTTTTATTCATATTAAAATGTTTGACTCTTAATTAAGTGTTCAATCATATAAGCTTTTTATTTAATAAATAATACAAAAAACTTGTTTTTTAATTTTCTTTTTCTTATATATTATAAAACCACATGTAAAAGAAAAAAAACGGTGAAACTTTAAGAAAATATTAATATGGACATTAATTTTATAAATTTTCAAGACAATAAAGAAAACGAGTAAAAAAATAAAAAATAAACCAGGCTTTTATAATCTCAGTAAAATATTCTCATAAAAAATTAATGTAAAAAGTAAATTAAAAAAAGGTTTAGGAAATTAATTAAAAGGAAAAAAAAAAGCTCCGTCTTTACATCAAAATATTTGTATAAATAGAAATGAAAAAATAACCTGACACCTTTATGTCATTTGAAGTTATAAGTCAAATCAAAGGAATAATACGTCATCTTACACATATACGCGTTTTGACCTTAACTTCAATGTTTTTTCTTTTTTTCACATTGGATAATTCGTCACTTTCTTTCTTTTCTTTTGTCCTTAGACATTGGATGTTTGTGGCAATGGAGTAGATGAACACCCCATTTTAAAAAATGTGTATACCGATGGATAATAAATTAATTTTTAAGAAAAAAATTGATTTTATACTTTTCAAATTTAAAAACTATTTAAATTATATCTCATATTATGTACCTTTATAAAAAGACTAATTCATAAATTTTATATTTTAGATTCAAATTAATCCTAAAAAGTAATTTAGTATTAATTTTTTTTTTCAAAATTGTCTCAAAAATATAATGATGGAATATAACTATCACATTTGTAACAGTGAGATGTTAAATCGGAATTTTAAATAAAGTGAAAATTTTGTCAACTTATATATTTAAAGATTAAAATAATCATTTTTCCAAAGAAATACTGACATAAAAATTGTTCCGCCGTGTTTGTTTCTCTCGTGTCTCCTATCAATGCATACAGTTTTAGTACAAAGAAACAATAATTTCGGTATTATAGGTAAAGATTAATTTATTTGTTGCTTCAGAAATCAGGTAAAAGAACCACATGATTAAATTTTTAAATTTCACATTTTGAATTGAAAAATAATCAAATTGGAGATTTTACTTATTTCATGCAAAGGGAGGAATATTTTAGAGTGAGAACTTATCTAAAGCTTCTATATCACAATTTATAAGTGTTTGTTTTAAAGAATAATATTTAAGATGATTTGGGAGGACGGATTGAAATTATTTTTCGTGTTCGTTTGAATGAATTTGAGAAAATGGACGAGAGGGGATTTGCGGAATGATAAGCTTATTTCATCTTTGCTGATGGAAAGAGATTTGCGGTAATTTTATGTGAAAAACTTATTTTAATCTTTTATTATCATTTAAAATAAGGTATGTGATTTTATGTTTTAATAGTTTTTCACTCATTTACTTTGTGTTGCATGTAGTATATGATTTAGAAGCATGGAAAAAGAAAAGCATGAAAAAATAAGGGACAGGAAGAACTAAACGTGTAAAATTCGAATGAGAAAAATGATGAAGTTTAGTAAAAGAAAAAGTTTGCATATGACACCAGAAGTAGAAGGAACAAAGGATTTAGGCTTTTTTTTCTCTTTTTAATATTCAAGAGGTAGAAATTATCCTTATATAACTCAACTTAGTTACTTGAATAATAATTATAATAATAATAATAATAATAATAATAAATAATAATAATATATTTTTTTCATGTTAAAAATTAATTTTATTTTTTTCTCTTTTTATAATAATTTTTAGTATTAACAATTACAATTTTATATTACTTTTATTACTAAGGGTATTTTTGTAATTTTTAATTTCTATCAATTAAATAACTTTTTTTTTATCTATCACATCAATCAAATTCTACACTAATTCTCACACACTTTACTTTCAAATCCACTATCACTTACTTCTAAATCCACACAAAAAAAACAACAAAAAATTTACCCTCAAATCCCCTCAAACTCATCCACTCACTCTTTCCAAATTTTCTCCCCAAAAGTGAACACACCCTAAACAATATTAATGCTTTGGTTTAATTGAATTGACTTTGTTCTTGCTTCTCAAAAATTAGATTGAGTGGGGAACCATGAATTAGATTGTTTAGGATAGTTGCATTACATAATTCATATCCATAGCTTGTTGTGACATTCTTACAAACATCTTGTGTGCATTTTGTTTTACACATTTTTACTCTATTTTGCTTGGTTTTAAAGGTCAAGGTAAGTTCTATATCATTCATTCCTGCATTATAGATATTCATATTACATCCATGGGTGTTACAATTCAATTTTAGACGTTGAATCATTACGTTACACCTTTCACTTGAGTTGTCAAATCAATAAATATTTTTCTTATTTTTATTACAAAATTGATATACCTTTTAGAAATTCAAGTATTAAATAGAAATAAAATTTTTAAAAATACATAAAAATAAAAAATTATAAGTTTAATATCTTTAAAATTTTAAATTAATATTGATATCAAATTATTTATATGAATTAGACTCTTTTGTTGGTGTAGAACTGGATAGAAGATTAATTACATCTCAATAACCTAAACATCATTTGATAGAAGAAAGAATAATGATTGACATAAAGTGTAACAACCTAGTGCTAGAAGAGTTGAACAACTTAGTGTAGCATTGAGAATATCAAATGAATAATGAATTTCAGATTTCTAAGAAACCACCCAAAGTCATTCTTTAGAAGACATTCTCTATTGAATGATACATACCACAAGGGATCGTTGATATAGCAGCTACACAAAACAGTGACTAAAATGACAGTCACAAAATGATAATAAATCTCACTCATTTTTGGGCCAATAGGAACAACTCTTGTGTGAGAGCAATATTTACAAACTCAATCAACCAAAGAGCCTCTCAATAGTACTAAAACAATTTTACGTTTATTATTTATTTTAACATGGTTTTGATTGACTGTGCCATAAACTATGCTCATACAAGAATTACCAAGAGAAGGGTAGTAGGGAGAGGCTATACATAGAAAACCTGACCAACATTCAAGAGACTCTCATGAGGAACATTGAAGATCACACTATTTTCTCTGCATATCTTCCTGAGAAATGCATATATATAATCCACAGCTATTTTCTTGTAGAATCTTGAATCCCTGCTAGCCCTCACAACTGTGTTTCCCAGTATGTGAACCACCCCAGCATCTCTGCAACTGTTCAAAAACTCAACTTCATCAACCTCAGTTTGGTTGCTCACATGACCAGAGGACCTAACAGTAGCATTCAACTGTGATGGAGAAGTAACTGACACTATAGAATCCAAAGAAGAAACTGTTGGATCCATATTCGTTGATGATGTGATTGCATTATTGTTCAGTAGTAGACCTTCTCTTGATCTCTCAGTTTGCTGTTCATATAAACTGTAGTCATCTGAATCCGAGCATCCCTCCATCATAGACTCCAACTTAACAAACACAAAAAGGTTGTGGAAAAGCTTTTTCTCAAAGTCCTCATCTTTCTTGTGCAAATCTTTGTATCCGTACCTCGCAACGCACCGAAACATGTGGAAGTTCTTTGGTCCAATCCGCTTCACAAGGAACCTTTCATCTTCTGGGACAGTGTAGACAGGAAGATACTTCACACATACGAAAACAACAACAGAATGAATAGCTGGTAGGTTTGTGATGAAGTGAGAAAATATATGGGGTACTCCACTTGCAAGTTCTGTGTATACCAGCCCTATTCCTGGGACACGAACAAGTCCTAAACTTGGTCCAAGTCCAAGAATCCATGCCATTGACACCTTACTGTGCATTTCAAACTCGTACCGTTTCACTGTGCCATAATGCCATACATACATGATCAGAAGAAATGCTCCAGCAATTGCAAGGGGAGCCCATCCACCTTGGTCAATTTTGAAGAGTACTGCAGAGAAGTATGTGCATTCCACTATCAGTGATAAGCCAGTGAACACCACAACCAGAATCCAATGGCAGCGCCACACCAATATCATGATTAAAATCATAAGCAGCGTTGTAACCAGCATCACTAGCACAACTGCAGTACCTGCAATTACAATGTGGGGACTTACAGTTTTGACAAAAGAAAGGTGAAAATTTATGCTTCACAACATTCAACAAAGGAATAACAACTTACCATATGCATTTCCAATTTGACTCTGATTTTTAAACCCTGCTGTAACAGCAATGCATAGAATCATAAGGATCCAATTTATGTCTGGAATGTATATCTGGCCAAGGAACTTCTTTGATGTATGTACAACTTTTATTCTTGGGAAACAGCCATGTGCATTGGCTTGCTTGATAATTGAGAAGGTTGCGGATATTGTGGCCTGGCTTGCAACTATAGCTGCTGCTGTTGCAACAACAAATACTGGCCAGTATATTTTGTCTGCAGAATTAAGGATAATCAATACCTAAAATTCATTAAAGACTCCTTAATTAAAGAAAGAACTTCCAGCAAGAGGTTTGTCTTAAGAATGTAACAGCATGGCTGTTGATCATATTCTGAACTTCTATCAAAATAAAATAAAAATGTGAGAAATATAGCAAACCTGGAATAGAACGATAAAACGCATCATTTGAATGATCCAAGTTATGCATAAGGTATGCAGCTTGTCCAGAGTAGGCTAAAAGAAGGCAAGGAAAGACTAGGAGAGTAAAAGCAATCTGTACAGAAGAGACTGGAAAGTGGGCTAGGTCTGCAAAAAGAGCCTCTGTCCCTGAAATAAATCATCACAGATAACCAAGCTCAAGTAACATAATTAACAATTCTGAAATGAAAGGAGGAAATCAACAGTTATATATAAAAGGTGAAGATACCAGTTATGCTGAGCAAAATTCCACCAAGGGAAGTCCAACCATCTTTACCTCCTCGTTTTAGATAGCGGTATATATACACTGGTGAAAAAGCTTTTAGAACACTGCTGTCATATTTACAGATGTTGAAGATGCCTATGCCTCCAATTAGGAGAAACCAAAGAAGGACAACCGGAGCAAAGAGCCAACCAACTCTATCTGTACCGTAATGTTGCATGCTGAATAACCCAACTAGTATAACAACAGCAACCAATACCACTACTTCTGCAACTCAGGAAAAAACGAGAAAAAAAAATATTTTCAAGACCAAGAACATAGAATGGTTGAATTTGAAACTCTAATGCTTAACACATATAATGGTAGATAGAAGCAGAAGAAAAATGCAATGTTACATTACAGGTGTAGGACCGTACCGTTGCTCAAATCTGCGTGATTTACCTTGATGCCACCAACCGCAGATAAAACTGCAACAAAAGATTTTGTAATGAATATCTGGAACTCACTGAAGGGATATTCAAGATGATATACTAAAGCAGAAAATAAAGTGTACTGAAGCTGAATCATTTTATCTGCAGCCTTATGCAATACATCATCATACATATAAAGAGGTAGACCACTTCATGAAATCAATTTCTGACACAATGCATACCAGATATAGCTGGGGTAAGAATTCCATCTCCAATCACCATGCAAGTACCAACGAGGGCCAGAATAAGAATGATATCTTTAATATAAGGTTGCTCCTCTAACCATCTCTTGGTTTTTGCAGCAAATGACTTTTCACGGATGGTAGATCGACTATATGTTGTTAGCTCTTCATCCGTACGATGCTGGTTGGGAATGGTTCTAATATTTGCATGTCGACAGAGCAAAGAATAAAGGGCCAATGTTCCACCTGCTCCATAGATATCCAACAGTATTAACAGATACACATGTTCATGTCATACGTTGAAATACTAGTATTCTTAGCTGTTTCCTTAGTCCAACCATAAAAATTCTAATTACCAAAATCAAACAAATACCTTGACCATTGTCATTCGCTCGTAATACAATAAGAACATATTTGACCAGCGGCACCAGGGTAAGAGAGTATATAATCAAAGAAAGAGCTCCAATCACATCCTCCTGGTTGTCAATTCCATGAGGAAATGTATTATAGAAAACGTATAAGGGGGAAGTGCCCAAATCTCCATACACTACTCCAAGACTCTGATATGCAAGCCGCAGAAGCAACAGTGTAGAAAATTTCTGAACAAATCAAACCAATAACATCATGAAATTATACACCAAATTCTATAGCTAGAATAATATCTTTTTAAATGTACAAGGTGGTTAGGAGTTTGATTTTTGTCAGCCTAATTCTGATAAATTGCAGTCTCCTAAGTAAAGAAAACTGAATCCATCAAAAGAAATCATGTCAAGAGGGATTTGCATCGTACTTTTTCTCTGTACATGTTTTTGAGCTTTTCAGCTTCTTCATCCATCGGCTGGTCAATCCTCTGTTCCAAAACCCACATACCGCCTCTGCTATCACCTTCTTCACCAAACTCAGTTGAAGCCATTTATGCTCACTTCAATAACTTCCTCTGTTACTCTATCTTTGAAACGAAACATCAAATAGTTAGTCATCTAAACAAACACTCACAAACAAAAGTTGAAAGTAAACTATGATGAAATCCATGCCCACTAAAACTAACGATCCAAACTAACCTATAAAATTTAGAAAAGCAAGCAAATTTGGCTATTTCAATGAGTGGTTCCATCACCATCAATCCCATCTTTGAAAGCAAAAAAAATTACAGACCCAATTACTATCAACATATAATCTGCATCCGCCTAGCCTTCACAAACCAAAGCAAACCATATTCAAACCAACTACAGACATGAGAAGAATAAAACTAACAGCGCCAAAAAAGACAAAATTCAGAGGCGGTTAAGTGTTCTTGGTGCTATTCTCATTAGAATTGTGGTTTCACGAAATATGTAGAGTAAAAGTTTGTATTAAGGATTAACAGATATGCCAAAAACACCAGCATCTGAGTTTGGTCCCCGGTTGGGCCAAAATCATACAATTATTCAAATTAGTCAAGGCAAAACTTTTAGCTGAAAACATTCTTAATCAGATATGATTATAAAATTTTCAACTCAAATCATAATAATCTCAAATTTAAAATTGAAAACTTCAAGAATTGGTGAAAACCAATCCTCACCTCCCCTCTGTCATAAAAACCTGGTACTTGTCACCCTCAAACTGTATTCAGCAGAAGCAGTATTAGCCTCAGATTGGTGTCAGCCACAGAACCAAAGAGCAAGCTCAGATTCATCAGGTATCCAACACAAGATACTTTCAGGTCGAGAGGAAGAGAAAACCAAAAGGGTAACGTTAAGGCTGAACACTGTCAGTGTCCCACAACAGACAAAAAATCACAGACCAGGAGAGAGAAACTACAAGATACAGTACAGCCACTTGTTTTTGTTTCTTGGATTGTTCCTTTATATTAATTGAATGCATATGCATCACTATTTTTGTGGTAATCTTATTCCCCATATGAAAAATGACATGGAAGGGATAACTTCGATTCCAACCTGGTTTTATCATGAGTGATGCAATGACCAAGAACAATAAATTAACGTTGTCTGATGAGTGTTGCGCCATGTAAACGATATATATGGTTATTTTTCCAAGTGTTTCTTTCAATTGAATAGGCTGATTAATAAAATTATAAAAGGAGAAACGTTCCTATAAGATCACTGGAATAATATTAAAAATTAATACCCATTTATGATTTCTTAATTTGACTTTAGTAGATTCGGTACTCAAATACAAAATCAGAAAAATTAAATTACATAAAATTCTAAATTAATTTGTTTTGTAAAGAGAAACTAATAGCAAGATGTTAAATAACAATAACCTACAAATAAATAGTTTTTTTTGCCAAAAGATATTTTTTTAAAATTAAAAAAATATTGAGTGAATAGTTTTTGTTTGGTTGCCAACTTGGTTCATTATTAGTTTTGGACCGATTCTCAGTTGATTTCATAACAAACTAAGCTTTCTGGGTTAAATGAATCGAATAATTAATCAATTGACTTTATCAGTTAATGGGGAAAAAATCTTTCTATCAATGACTGTGGTGTGTGTATTTATAACAACAATTATTTATTAAACTTCTTTAGCAATATATTTATAATAACATTATTTTAGATACCTTGCAAAAATAATTATAATACAAAGCACTTATTCTCACAATCTTAATCATATATATGACGATGTAAACAAAGTTCGGCTATAGGTTATATTTAATCTTATATCATTAACTACTTAATCGCTGACTACGGATTAGTCTAACAAGAAATGAGTAAAAAATTTAGAAAATTTAGTGTTGATTTTATTAAATAATAAATAGGAAGTGGCCCTCATGTTGGTTGGCTCACATGAACAAATTAACGTTGAAAAGGTTTATTAATCATTAGCACTATTTTAGAGTAACTCAACCTAGGTCAACCTCGAAAAAATAAAGTTAATTATCTAAATGGTCAAACTCAATTTTATTAATTACGACGTTAATTATTTGTAAATATCATTTTGTCTACATTGTGCTATGTTATAGATGCAATTTGTTAACCGACCTGTTAAAAAAATTATGAACAAAGTGATTTTTTTCATCTTAAAAATGTAAAAGCAACTTATTTTGATATCTTGTCGTATGCTTCTTGATACGATGACTAACAATCATCAGACTTAGATACATTTTTGTTCTTCAAATCTGAGACAAATGTGCCTAAATTTAAAAATGATTTGTAACTCTTCTAGTTTTAAAAGTGGTATTAGAATGAAAATATTAGTCAACCTGCTTGTGACTTCAACATCTTCAACTCTTACCTTTTCTGCCTACATAAGACTAAGAATTTAAAGAATAAGCATAAATTGAATAAATAAAATATATTTATGGCTTAAAGTTTAATTTATTAGTGAAGAGATTTTCAAAAGAATTATAATACTAATAAAAAATAAGTTTAATTTACTTAAAAGATTAACGTTATTTCTAATACAAGATTTTAGTACAATAAATTTATAGATTTTTAGTGTTCAATTTTCTTATTTTCATTTAATATGAGATTTTAAACTCATACTTGAATTTTTAAATCATTAACATGAGCATGATGGTAAAACATGTTTAAGCTAGTAAGTTGGCTTAAAGTTTCTAATCTATTCATTTATTTAAATTAGTTATGTTTAGTCTCCCAAATTGGTGGTTCAAAATCGAATTAACATTTTTTTTATCTAATAAAAAATTACAATAAAGAATAATTTAAAAGATAATATTTCTGTAACATATTACTTAATAATGCAAATATTTAATAATTAATTTAAGTCATTAATACTTACAAATTAAATTTTAATTATTTATTATAATATCATAATTTAATATGTAAGCATAATAATTATTTTAATTAATTCAATTAGAGATATTAATTAATTAATTAATTAAAACTTAAAAATTACCTATAATGTACGGTATTCGTGTTACTAGAAGGGACATTTTTTAATATATGTATTTTCTTTTTCTTCGAGTGTTTTAATTATTATATTCCCATGTTACATTTCATTTTCCTTTTCTTTTCATCTTTCGTTCTGATTTCATAATGTTATGAGTAAATGTATAAATTTAAGCTTAAATTTTCTTGGCAAAAACACTCAAAAATTGGCTAGAATATCACACAATTTTCTTAACAGATTGGTCTTATTATTTTTTTCATTGTTTGAGTATTTATATATGAATCTTTGAAAAAGAGAGTGAAGACATTAAGAAAGTTTTCAAGTTGTTTATCTACTTTTGGATGGAGATGGAATATATCATTGTTTAATAAATAACATGTCACCAATTTTTTTCTTCCTAATTTAATATTTTCCTTTAGCTTTTTGAAAAACTTTAAATCTATAGGAAATTTTATATTTTTGCTATGTTGTTGTTATCTTTAAAGAAAACTTTTGTTAATTTTTTATTTTCATGTTTATCTTTGTTCTGTCTTTCTTTAGGTTACAAATTGGGCTAAAAAAATGTGTTTGGGATTTTCTTGCTGTGTATAAAAAAACTAATATATAAAAATCAATATTTTTTATGTAGAAATTATTATTAACTAATTTGGAATATATAATGAACGAATTGTTTTTTATTAATTTTGCTTATAATTTTTCATAATAATTATTTTTCAAAGATTTTAACACGATATTTTATTCAATATGTGTTTAGTAAGTCAAATCAAATCGATATGAATTATTTGTAACAGAACTAGTAAACAACTTATGTTTAGTCTAAATTACAGTATTTTAATTTAAAATTTCATAATTAATACAAAATTGACAAGTAAACTGATTGTGTTATGGATCAATCTCACGAATATGCTTAATCAACTGAATTGCTTTTTTTATGTGGATGACAATTACGAATTCATTAATTTTCTTTTAATAATTAGATTTTTCTTTTATTTTAGATGAGAATGGAAATGGATAAATGTGAATGGAAATGATAAAAATGAAGATAAGAACGGTGAAGATGAAGATGGATTAAGACTTATAAATGCAAAAAAATAAATTATCATAAAAAAGTTGATAAAAGAAATCTACAAAATCGATGATCCAAATTGCTACCATCATTCTCGCTGGATTATCATTATCTTGTTTGCATGTTCTTAAAGTATTTATGTTTTAAATACACTTTTTTTTCAACATAAGTAACCTATTTATATCTTCTTACTTATAGCATTTAAGCTAAAATTAAATTATAAAAAATTATATAGTTTGCAATAACCATCCAAAAATCACTCATGATGCATCAATTCTACCTAAACCCATATTAATTTTGTCTTGCAAATATCTTTCTTGATATATTTTCAAGTTCTTGATCTTCTGATTTTCACTTCTATATTGACCTTATTTCTACTTATTGTATAATCATCATTTTTTTTAATCTTGTTCTCAAATAATTACCTTTGCCATCAATAGAATATTAGTCAATACTAATCCAGAAAAAAAAAAAAACATTATCCACCTCAATAAAATTATCGACCAAATTGAAAAGGATTTTAAATAATATTGACATAAAAATACCACTAATTTATATTTTTCTAATTGTTTAATTTAAAGTAAAATTTTATATTTGATGATAATTAAATAAAAAATTAAAATAAAACAAAATAAAAGCATTCGTGTCCAAAGAATTAGTTTCTACGTTTATTAGCAGTTCTCTTCTACAATACTCTTAATTTGTTTCTATTCTCTTCTATGCATTTCTCTTCCATTTGATTGAGACCAAATTTCTAAAGAAATGTTAATTATTTAAAAACACTAAAAATAAGAAACAGTAAGAAGACGTAAATAGCAAAACCTTTTCCAAAAACTTTCTCTATCACCTCACATTGTTCTGCCTGTAGTCAAGTCATGAAACATCAAACATCAGCAGGAGAGGAGGAATCAATCCAAAACTTGTACATCACTTAACATTGCCCTTTCCCATAATGACACATCAATTATATCAATCCAACTGTTATGGAGGGGGCAAAAATATCACAGCTACACCATATTTTGACTTTCATGACATCATTCCATTATTTACTTGATTACCCCTCATCACGTTAAATTTCATCATGGAACCTTACCTAATATTTGCCATCATTCTGTGACATAGATATCCAACAAGATCATGGAGAGGGCAGAAAAAGTTACTGCTAAACCACTTTTGACTTTAATGATAATCATTCAATTATTTGCTTGAAATAGACCCTCATCACTTGAATCATTATGCTACCTAAGCTCATTTAACACCCTTTTGTGACATCTAGCAAGATATTAAGTTTTCATTTCTCTACTGTAGAGAGAACTCGAGCAGAACACTGATATTATGTGACATCTCACCAGTTACAATGATAAAATGGGTCTTAATATTATTACTATTCACTAAGGATACATTATGTACTAATTGTGAAGAAACATACATTTTCTGTTGCCAACGTAGAAAAAGTAAAGAAGCAAACTAGGATCTTTTGTCATTACAAAAATTGGAATCGATGGTATATTACAAATATTTCACAATTTCAGAAATCCAACATGTGGAAAGCTAAACTACGTTTCAGTGGCATATAAGCTATTCAAACAGTAATTGGTGAGGGTATTGAAGGAGGGACCCGATTTTCAGCAGGAATTTCAACAAACTCGGACAGGAGAGCTCGGAATTCATCTCCACTCATTGTCTCCTTCTCCAGTAGAACTTCCACAATCGTATCAATTGCTTCTCGGTTGTTCCTTATTTGGCTCAATGCAATTTCATATGCTTCATCTGAAATTCTCTTGATAGCAGCATCAATGTCTTCGGCAAGCTTTTCTGACATTGAGTTTCTTGCCATCATTCTCATGATCACATCTGCACTTTGAGCCGATGAGTCCATGAGTGACCAAGGACCAATATCAGACATTCCGAATGTGG